TCATATTTGGCAACATTTTATTATTCTAAATAGTATTACATTGTACAGTATACTACTACAGCTTAACATGAGTCGATTTACATGTTTAATAAAGATCAATATCACAATATATAGATATATCTTATCCGTGCGCTGTCAGAAGTGATATCTTTCTCTACATAAATAAAATCATTAGAAAACTTAACAAGATGCATATACAATTGATTGTTGAAGATAGCTTGCAATGCATCTTGTATTTCTTTTTCGTCTGTGGATTAAATAGAAACCTTACTCAGATCATGCACGGAATCTTTTTGCATCATATAAAATAATGCCTGCAGGTGTGTTTCATATTGCAAAATTTATTTATGTACCGGGAATTGGGGAATCCGATTTCGGACAGAGGATTGGATTAAGATTAAGATTTAGCTTTAATTCCATTTGTTACAAATGATGTCCTTTTGCTGTGATATACTCTGTTTTATTTTGCTTCTAAATCTCCCCCTGCGTGCAAAGAATGGCCAGGGTTACCATCCACTGGAAGCGCGCGGGATTGAACGCAGGTCTGCAAGATTGCTACTTCATCACGCTAACCGCTGCAGCACACAGCACACTGTTTCCCTTGTTCTCCAGCTTTATTTACTCTACCATTCTTCTTTCAAGAACAAGCTCCAAGTTTGCAGGTGGACTTGTTTAGACAAACCGGATATTTGAAGATAAGATTGGTTTCCCATTACCTAGCATATTTTAGTCTAATATTATGTAATTGTATAGAAAATGTGACATATCCTCTATTCAACAAGCAACACTCCACTCAATAAGTATAAATTCGAAATCTAAAAAAAAAAAAAAAAAAAAAAAAAAAAACGCGCACTGAACATCACATTTCTCAAGGCGATGCACATTCTTCCTCCCGCAATGCTTTACCGCAGAGTATCATCATAATGAACCGCCTCCCTTGCATGGCGTAACTGCGCCGACGCGGCATGACACCACATTTTCAGGCCAGGGCGCTGAGCGTGACTCGCCGGTCCTCCAGCTGCGCCCTCTGAGCCGCCTTCACCTCCTCCCGGTGCCTGGTCAGAATCACATACGTCACGGCGCCGCTGCTCGCGTACAGGATCACCGAGATGAATCCTAGGGCCTTAAAAGGAAAGGAGGGAGGGGGATGAGAGCGGCTGGAGGCTGGAATCTGGAGGCCGAGTGGCTGGCCTGTTCAAGGTGTTCACAGAGGATAGAGGGAGTGTTTTATAATAAGGATAATGCCGATATTACAAGATGTAAACATATACCAATTCACAACATCTGAGTTTTATAAATATACCTAATAAATTGCCTCTATGTGATATGGTAGGATTGAATCTAATAATGACCTTGATAATAAATCTTTGGCATCACTGTTCTCCCATATTCGGAGAGAGAGAGAGAGAGAGAGAGAGAGAGAGAGAGAGAGAGAGAGAGAGAGAGAGAGAGAGAGAGAGAGAGAGAGAGAGAGAGAGAGAGAGAGAAGAGAGAGAGAGAGAGAGAGAGAGAGAGGAGAGAGAGAGAGAGAGAGAGGAGAGAGAGAGGAGAGAGAAAGAGTGAGAGTGAGAAGTGAGAGAGAGAGGGGGGGAAGAAGATGAAGATGGAGGAGGAGGAGAAGAAAAAGAAGAAGGAGAGAGAGAGAGAGAGAGCGCAGCCAAACAGACAAATTAACTGACTAACAGAGAGATAGATAGATGGACAGACAGTTAAAAAGAAGTGATGGTTAACTTATCATGTATAAGAAATAATTGGGACAAGATAAATAATAAGAAAGAGACAGAGATGGAGACAGAGGCATAGGCAGAGGTAGAAATAAAGATATAGACAGAGACAAAGGAACAAAATGAGAGATAAAGAAGAGAAAAAAAAACTACACCACCCTTCTTCACCATGCCCCTGACCCCCCCCCCATAAAAAAAAAAAAAAATCGCGGAACTCCTTACTATGGCGGCGATGACCATGGAATAGTTATTGGCGCATTCGTTTCTGGTGAGCGTGAGGACTGAACCCACGAGCATCAGAACCAAGGCACACACGTTGAACCATACGTCCTGGTGAGGTGGGAGGAGTTTTTACATTATAACCGAGCGACCTTGAGGGTTGGCAGGGTCTCGGGGGAACATAGTTTTGCATGGAGGTAGATGCGATATCCTTCTAAATGTCCTGATTATACAGAGTGACATTTGGTATATTTGCATGGGCTTATTTGTTAAAATAGTTATTTGATTTTTATATATCTATGTATGTACACTGAAGTATCCTATACTTTACGAAATCCACGATATATCAATTCGAAACAATATGGGACAAAATACCACGAACAAATACGATACTCATCCCTTAAAAAGAGACACTTACCCCCTTCACCCACGCGGGGGTAGTCAGCGGGTTCCTGCCTCCCACGAGAACCAACACGGCTGTGACGTAAGAGACGAGGGTCGCCGCCAAACACACGCCGCAGGGTAACAGGTACATGGCCAGGAAGGCACCGTCGCCA